TCTCTTTTCCACCCATGTTTGAGATACGAATGTATTCTTGGTTGCATAGAAATCTGTCACATGGTTTTCAATCATTGTTGAAGGCCCGAAATTTATACTAGTATTTATCTCAAAATTTACCGAAAAAAAAAATAGTGTGAATATTCGCGAATAACTACTTGTATTTAAAACACTTTGCTCCCGCGCGTTTCAAATATTCACTTACACTTCGAGATACTATAAATAATTCTGATGGGAAGAATGTTTCTCATATCATCCGATTGCTAATTTCAATGAGTTGTATAGAGAGTACAATACTTCGTCCGTCAGTTTGAAGTTTCCTTCATATGAAAGAATATCCTGTTTGACAACAGGATGACACAATAAACATTACATCACCAAATATGAAACATTATATGTGACAAGTAGGTCGTTGCAAAACTTCCGTCAGTTTTGAAGTGTTATATTTTATTACATACAAAAATTTGGAAAAAAGATTTTCGGTTCCTCCACCATTTGGGCAAATATGCGAATCACCCAGGTGCAAATACGACGCTGCCGGTTCGACTCGAATCTCTCAGCTTTCCGACATTCGGCACTGAATACAAAATATCACCACATGCGACGAAAGTATAATTAAACGTCATCTATCTACGCCCCAAGATTTGTATATTGGTGTATTTTGAAAACGTCAGTTATTTGAATTGTTTCAATGGTAATCTAGATGGTAGAAATATATTACTTAGTAGTTATGAACTCATTTGAAGAAAACTATAGTTGAAAGGAAACTTCCCCATTCTGTCTGGAAGAATTGAAATACCTTTAGTTTTAAAATGTCTTCACTGTTTCAAAAACATCATTCTATGGAAATGAAAAATTTGTATCAATAGAAATCAAAATCGTAATCAATATCAAATGTTGAGTATTGAATATAAATTTTTCTGATCATTTTATATCCGAAAATAATTTCTGAATATACAGTGGGTTCCAAATAAGTGCAAGTTTTCTAGGTGTGATTTCCTTCTCTTTGTCAGTCACCAAACATGCACTGAAATTTGCCATCTTGGCAGCTTATAGGGGATGATCATAAAAAAAAACAATACTTTCAACTTCAACACCCTGTATCTCAAGAGCTTTTTTCATAAAATATAACAAAGAATAACCACCTTTAAAATTTCCGCACTTGGGCACATGAAACTCATTAATTAGAATAGGTAAAATCGAATATTTTCGTAATTTTTATTGACTAAAGCATATTGCTTTGTTCAATATACAGGGTGTCCGCTAAAAGGAGGTCAATCCATTAACCATATATTCCTTGAACAAAAATAATATGAGTTTCTAAATACCATTTTTCATTTTAGCCCTTCTTATTCGATATACAGGGTGTCAAAGTTGGAAATTGAAAACTGTTTTTTTCTAATTACTCGCGTAATTAATAAGATATTATTCTCAAAATTGGTACATTACTTCAGCACAAAAAGTAACATCGTGTGAGGAAAACAAAACAGAAAATAACTGTCAAATATTCAAAATACTGGGGGTCAAGTACACACTTACCCCCATTTTTTTTTGTACGTGCGCTAATGACGTCCTATCTATTTTTCTTCAAGTGTTCAATCATTTTTGAGTTTTTTTTTGATTTTTGTAAAATTCCGATAAAATTATTTGTTTTTAAGATAATTCGAAAAGTACTGGTTATTGTTTGATGCCTCGCGGCTTACGGTAATCTTATAATGTTCACATACTCCTATTTATATCGTCGAAATTGAAAGAGGGCGTATCTTATTACGCACGGAAAGGTAAATATGGAAATACCGGGTGCTCAGAGCGAATGTATTAAAATAATTTTCACACTTTTTTAATTTTTTTTCTGCAAAAATTATTTTAGTACAATTGCTCTGAGCACCCGGTATTTCCATATTTACCTTTTCGTACGTAAAAAGATGCGCCCTCTTCCAATTTCGACGAAATAAATTTGTATGTGAACATTATGAGATTACCGTGAGCCGCATAGGCATCAAACAATAACCAGTACTTTTCGAATTATCTTAAAAATAAATGATTCAATCGAAATTTTACGAGTAACAAGAAATACTCAAAAATGATTGAACACTTGAAGGAAAATAGATAGGAAGTCATTAGCGCATGTACAAAAAAAAATATGGGGGTAAGTGTGTACTTGACCCTCAGTATTTTGAATATTTGACAGTTATTTTCTGTTATGTTTTCCTCACACGATGTAAGTCTTTGTGCTGAAGTAATGTACCAATTTTGTGATTAATATTTCATCAAATACGCGAGTAATTAGAAAAAAACAGTTTTTAATTTCAAACTTTGACACCCTGTATATCGAATATGAAGGGCAAAAATGAAAAATGGTATTTAGAAACTAATATTGTTTTTGTTCAAGGAATATGTGGTTAATGGATTGACCTCCTTTTAGCGGACACCCTGTATGTGTCTAGCTCCTGATAACACTCTAAATAGCAGTGCAATTATAATTTTACAACACATCAGGAAGTTCACTCAAGTTGTGCTGTACGCGAAATTGTGTTTTTTTTTTCAGTTGTCGCCGGATTTCAATAAGGAAATTTTTCAGCATATTCATTCACTGCACCATATCTCATTATCATATCACAATAGTCTCGCGACGTGAGAGCTGGCTGGTTCCAATAGAAACAAAATTATCATACAGAATGGAACAGAGAAACTAATATAAACTGATTGAAAAAAATCAAAGATATTTTTAAATGCCAAAGATAGGTATTCATAGGTACTCATCGCATTTTTTTTTGAAAATGTCTATAGCAAAAACCATTGTCTGCTAAATATGGAGAGAAAAATCTAGTGAGCTGTGGTATCTGGTCTGCTCAAACAAGGAAAATCACCTACAGGTTTCTGTGGCCGATACAGTAGTGCCACCATACGGTCAACTCGAAGAAACACTTATTTCAATTGTTTTCCTGTCAAACCAACATAACCTTGAAAATCGTAAACGAGTTGTGCAGCTCCCTCAGCGGTGCTCTCGGCAGTCTCGGCCGGCGGCGCAGTTTGTTCAGTGACTTTGAGTTCAGTATCACGACATAGTCACTCAGTAACTCGAAAATTTGAAAAACTCATTCCTACTCAAAATGGTTGCTACAGACACTACAATAGTCCCCAATTTTCTAATGTTCAACACCTAAATTAAATGGGAGGTAGAATCAGTAGTATCGATTATTAGCTTTGATCAGGGCTCTGACTATCTTACTTGTAATGAGCCTGTAACACTCAATATCGAATGTATACACTTATGTCGCAAAGAAATATCACTTGGAAATACATTAATAGAGACGGTTTCACACTTTCTGGTAGGAACAATTGAGAGACAAAGTTTGTAACAAATTATCAATTGAAATAAACTACTTTAATACTGGGAGCACAACACAAAACTATGTCTATTAACGAAAGGAATATTATTATTATGGCACGACAGCTCTTGACACTGACAACTCACATAACCACAAATTTCGAAAATTTTCTAGAAAAAATAGAAGAATATTTCGTTCGATACGGTAACATCCTCTGGTGGTCATACACTCAACTGAGCTATAGAGCAGACCAGTAGTTACAGCTCACTAGATTTTTTTTTCATATTTAGCAGACAATGGCAAAAACACAATATCTTTATCATTTTTCATTAGTTTATTTCATCACATTTATGAAATGAATATACAAGGTGGTCCTTGAGTAGTATAATTAGTGAATTATTGACTTTAACACCAAATTCATGATTTCCCATACCCAAAAATCCTAGCTAGTTTTAAATTTCCATGTATACATGTTCAAAAACGTTGAAGTTATTGTAAAAAATAGATTTTAAAAGGTCACCTTTGACACAGGGTGTATCTCTCTCATCAGCAATATTTTATCAAAGCAAGTTGGCTGGAATTGTATTATTATGAAGCAGGACCACTCTGTATGTCAACTCCTGCCATTGTCTCTTCAATATTGTAGCAGATAGCTTCTGAAGATAGTATATGTTAGGAATTATCAAACAAATCACCAATAGGTAAACCATGTAGATCAGATAGATGAAAATTATATACTCTAGTGTTATACTAGATTTTCTCATCACAGTATTCCAAGTTGATGTTGGTTTGATTTTAAATCATTGTTATTGTATTCTTGGATGTTCATTTTCACAATGTATTACTTAATTTTGACACAATAACTCAGCTGAATGAAAATTCACAGAATTTATTATTCCATATACAACCAATTATTTGAAAATATGTTGTTTCATGTTTGTTGATAATTGTTATAGTTGTTATAGTGGTAAATTGTAGTGTGTTGAATGTTTCATGTGTTATTCTAGTCATTTTTTTCACTTTATGAATGAATCAATTCATTATTTGTATATCAGGTACATGATTGTGAACATATTTGAACACAATGCACTAGCAAAACACTGGAAAACAATATTTCATCAGTTTTTTGGGTATCCATCAGATGAACATATTTTAAAATCAAGTATTTTTGTAAAAATGTTAATATTTCAATATAAAGGTCCATATAGACTTGAATGTTCAATATATGATCAACCTTAGGATAATAATCAGAAATATGGAAATGTAAACAACTCTTAAACTTTAAATATTTCAAACATATCTGAAGTAGGTTCAGCACTTTGATTCTTGATTAAATGATTCATATTCCAAAAGACAAAAGTGCATGTTTATTGATACTGAATGATCTATCTTAATATCCTTGATATAATTTGGCACCTACCCTATTTTTTTAAGTATACAATGCTTTTGATGAAGTACTTTTATGAACTAAATTGATAATGAGCATGACCAAACAACTAGGCATTCATGTTCCAATGGTACATCTTGTCATATCAGATTCAAATTACCATTTTTGTAGTTGATATATATATGGTTGAATTTTTCTGTATGAATTAAATGTTGAATAAATTCAAAGAATCCATAAACTTGTTTATCTCAATTTCACTCATTTTAGTTATATGAAGAGCTTAGGTAACTTGAAGGCAATGTCATAGCATAAAATGAACAATAAAATAATTATTTCTCAAACTTCATCTTCATTCAACAACATGTTTGGAATACCATTATTTATGGGGAATTTTCTCCCTGTTTCTGGACAAATGAGATCACCATTAATAATGTCCACTTCCATCAGCACATGGTGAACTTTCTTCAAGAAATCTTCATTGCTCTCGAAATTTTCAATAATATCTCTTGGCAAATCTTTGAGTTGACCAATACTTTCTGCAGCACCATATAAAACATTCCAATCTAATTTTGGAATCATTCTTGCAATGAATTCCGGATTGAAATCGACTTCTGAGACTCTAACATCCAATGCCTGAAAATATATTATATTGGAAGCTGGTGTAGATACTTTACTTACTAGAACAGTCCTTACATTTATAGCCAGTGGATAACCAACACTTACTCCCTTCATACATTTAGAAGTCAGCATATTATGAGTAAGTAACTTCATATTGAAAAACTAAATAAAATTCATTTACTTCACAACGCAATCGATTTCTCAAGATTATTTTATTTTCAGTTTTTCAAAACCAAAAATCGAAATCAAAAGTAACCCCGAGTTGATTTGTGAGGTTATTCTCTTTATTATTATTAGTCTTTATTTCTGTTCTTCCCATTTTTATTTCATGATGTTTTCATGTTACTCTTCTCTAACCAGTAGGACTGCTGCCACTTGCCGGTGTTTTGATTGTCTAGAAGCTCACGCACCGGCGTCAGTTAATAGCCTCAGTAGCAGAAAGACGCCAAACGATTAAGAAAAAAGAAGAATAGATGATTTAGACTTTAGAGGTTATGCAAAAATATTCAAGTTTCTTTGTGGGTACCTGCACTGAAAATATCAATTTTTTATTATTCTAATCTTTGAATCTTACATACTACTTGCATTAAATACGTTGAGGATACCTGAGACCTCAACTTCTTATGAAGAAGCTAGTGGAAGAAAATAAGTAGTTATCAAAATATTAGTGATAATGTCAGAAAGTGCAGGGAACTGGTGTTTGATTGAAAGCGATCCTGGTGTTTTCTCAGAGTTGATCCGAGAATTTGGTAAAATGACCATAAGGAAATATTTGATTCAATAACTACTGGGATTAATCATCTTTCAGGTTGTAAAGGAGTTCAAGTAGAAGAACTGTGGAGTCTAGATGGGGAGCAGTTTGAAAATTTGAAGTGAGTTTTTCCTTCAAAATCACTAGGCTTTATCAAATGCCTGTGGTAGTTAAATGACCTATAATGCATTAATTAATTGTAATTTTTCAGACCTATACATGGTTTGATTTTCTTATTCAAATGGACTAAGGATGATGATCACTCTGGCTCATTAGTACAAGATAGCAGACTTGAAAAAATATTTTTTGCTCGGCAAGTTATTGAAAATGCATGTGCAACTCAAGCAATCCTCAGTGTACTCCTGAATTGTCGCCATTCAGATCTCAAACTGGGCCACACTCTCACTGAACTAAAAGAATTCTGTCAAGGCTTTGATGCCAACATGAAGGGCTTGACAATAAGTAATTCTCCAGTGATAAGAACAGTCCATAACTCATTTGCAAGACAGCAATTATTTGAGTTTGATCCTTCATTAGCAAACAAGAATGAAGATGCATTTCACTTTGTGAGCTTTGTGCCAATTGATGGTAGACTGTATGAATTAGATGGACTGAAACAGGGTCCTATAGATCTAGGGGCCATACCACCTGAGACAGAATGGACAGATGTTGTAAGACCTATAATTGAAAAAAGAATTCAAAGGTGAGAATTAAATAGATTATTGATTCTTCATTTTATTGTAGCATCACCATCCTTATAATGGTTGCATTTTTATTTTAGGTATAGTGAAGGAGAAATCCATTTCAATTTAATGGCAATTGTGAGTGATAGAAAAATGATGTATGAAAGGCTAGTTGAAGAAATTCAGAAACAAGTGGAATCTGCTGGTATGGAAACAGATTTTCAACAAAATGAATTAACAAGATTAAGATTACTGATAAATGAGGAGGAGAACAAAACCCTTCAATATCAAGTTGAAAATATCAGGCGTAAACATAATTACTTACCTCTCATTGTAGAGATACTCAAGATATTAGCAAAAGAAGGCAAACTTATGCCACTTTATGAACAAGCTAAAGAAAAGACCTTAAAAAAACAAAAGTCCAAGGTTGTAACTTGATTATCTAAGAAACAATACTGAAAAGAAACTGATCTTTTTTCAAAGAAAATATTTTAATACAGTGTTTCAACAGTAAATGATTTTCATAATATATAATATGAACAGTTAAACCAACCATTGATGTTACAACTCCATATAAAAATAAATAATATCTTCCAAATAAACTGAATACTTGTATCACAAATCTATCTTTCAATTACATTAAGACTCATCTTCCTCACTCTCCTCATTTTCATATTTCAGTTGACCATCCTTGAAGACAAATCTTCTGAATTTTTTAATCTGCCTGATACTGAAACCATTCAATACTTTCAGACATTCTAGAATGAAAAAAAAAAAAACAATAATTAGAATATGCAATTATTTTTCGGGTTTACATAATTACCTCCCAGATCAGATTGTTTATTCTTGGGTACATGAAAATTCACCAATGTTCTGAATAAATTGTAAACCTTTTCAGGTGTGAATCCAACAAAGTGTTTTGCAATTTCCTTCCAGTCAACCTTCCTCCAATCACTTTCTTTTCTCTCCTTCAATCTGAAAACATGATATCTTGAAACATTTCTTATTCTAGGAGTGCATAACAAGTTAATATGAAATTAGTTTTTACAGTTACTTATATAGCATGGAATTAACATTGGTATAGCTAAGCTTGTAGACAAAAATAACTTTCCTCTCTCGTTCAGTCAATCAGCAAGGAAGGAAGGGATCCAAAGAAGTAAGTTATTCAAAGTAGGGAGGCCAAAGAAAGAATGAATTCAAAAAAGGAAACCAAAGGAAGGAATCCAAAGTTGGGAAACAAACGAAGGGAGGCATTCAAAGAAGTAAGGAAACCAAAGAATTGAGGAAACCAAAGAAGGAAGGAATCTGAAGAAGAAAGGAATTCAAAGAAGGAAAGAATTCAAAGTAGGGAAGCCAAAGAAGGAATCCAAAGTGAGGAAAAGAAAAAAAGAACAAAGGCATTTGAAGAAGTAGGGAAAACAAAAAAGGAAGGAATTTAAATAAGGAATCCAAAGAATTAATAAGGAAACCAAGGAAGGAAGGAATTCAAAGAAGGGAGGAATCCAAAGAAGTAAGGTAACCAAAGAAGGAAGGAATCCAAAGTAAGGAAACAAAAGAAGGAAGGCATTCAAAGAAGTAGGGAACCAACAATGGAAGTAATCCAAAGAAGGAAGGAATCCAAAGGAGGAAGGAATCCAAAGAAGGAAGGAATTCAGAGAAGGAAGTAATCCAAAGAAGTAAGGAAACCAAAGAAGTAAAGAAACCAAAGAAGTAAGGAAACCAAAGAAGGAAGGAATCCACAGTAAGGAAACACAAGAAGGAAGGCATTCAAAGAAGAAGGGGAACCAGAGATGGAAGTAATTCAAAGAAGGAAGTAATCCAAAGAAGTAAGGAATCCAAAGAATTGAGAAAACCAAAAAAGAAATGAATCCAAAGAAGAAAGGAATCCAAAGAATTGAGAGAATCAAAAAAGAAATGAATCCAAAGGAGAAAGGAATCCAAAGAAGTAAGAAGTTCAAAGTAGGGAAGCCAAAGAAGGAGGAAGGAATTCAGAGAAGGAAGGCATTAGAAGAAGTGAGGAATTCAAAGTAAGGAAACACAAGAAGTAGGGGAACCAAAGAAGGAAGGAATTTAAAGTAGGGATGCCAAAGAATGAGGAAGGAATTCAGAGAAGGAAGTAATCCAAAGAAGTAAGGAAACCAAAGAAGTGAAGAAACCAAAGAAGTAAGAAAACCAAAGAAGGAAGAAATCCACATTAAGGAAACACTAGAAGGAAGGCATTCAAAGAAGAAGGAGAACCAAAGAAGGAAGTAATCCAAAGAAGGAATCCAAAGAATTAAGGAAAGCAAAGAAGTAAGGAATTTATAGTAGGGAAGCGAAAGAATAAGGAAGGAATTCAGAGGAAGTAATCCAAAGAAGGAATAGGGAATTCAAAGTAAGGAAACACAAGAAGTAGGGGAAACAAAAAAGGAAGAAATTCAAAGAAGTAATGAATCCAAAGAATTGTGGAAACCAAAGAAGGAAGGAATTCAAAGTAGGGAAGCCAAAGAATAAGGAAGGAATTCAGAGAAGTAATCCAAAGAAGTAAGGAAACCAAAGAGGGAAGGGATCCAAAGAAAGGAAACAAAAGAAGGCATTCAAAGACGTAGGGGAACCAAAGATGGAAGTAATCCAAAGAAGGAAGTAATCCAAAGAAGTAAGGAATCCAAAGAATTGAGGAAACCAAAGAAGAAATGAATCCAAGGAAGTAAGAAGTTCAAAGTAGGGAAGCCAAAGAAGGAGGAAGGAATTCAGAGAAGGAAGTAATCCAAAGAAGGAATAGGGAATCCAAAGTAAGGAAACACAAGAAGGAAGGCATTCAAAGAAGTAGGGGAACCAAAGAAGGAAGTGATCCAAAGGAGGAAGTTTTCCAAAGAAGTAATGAATCCAAAGAATTAAGGAAATCAAAGCAGGAAGGAATCCAAAGAAGGAAGGAATTCAAAGTAGGGAAGTCAAAGGATGGGAAAGGAATTCAGAGAAGGAAGTAATCCAAAGAAGTAAGGAAACCAACGAGGGAAGGAATCCAAAGAAAGGAAACAAAAGAAGGAAGGCATTCAAAGAAGTAGGGGAAGTAAAGATGGAAGTAATCCAAAGAAGTAATGAATCCAAAGAATTAAGGAAATCAAAGAAGGAAGGAATCCAAAGAAGGAAGGAATTCAAAGTAAGGAAGTCAAAGGATGGGAAAGGAATTCAGAGAATGAAGTAATCCAAAGAAGTAAGGAAACCAAAGAGGGAAGGAATCCAAAGAAAGGAAACAAAAGTAGGAAGGCATTCAAAGAAGTAGGGGAAGTAAAGATGGAAGTAATCCAAAGAAGTAAGGAATCCAAAGAATTGAGGAAACCAAAGAAGGAAGGAATCCAAAAAAGTAAGGAATTCAAAGTAGGGAAGCTAAAGAATTAGGAAAGAAGTAATTTAAAGAAGTAAGGAAACCAAAGAGGGGAGGAATCCAAAGAAAGGAAACAAAAGAAACAAAAGAAGGAAGGCATTCAAAGAAGTAGGGGAAGTAAAGATTGAAGTAATCCAAAGGAGTAAGGAATTCAAAGTAGGGAAGCCAAAGAATGAGGAAGGAATTCAGAGAAGGAAGTAATCCAAAGAAGGAATAGGGAGTCCAAAGTAAGGAAACACAAGAAGGAAGGCATTCAAAGAAGTAGGGGAACCAAAGAAGGGAAGTAATTCAAAGAAGGAAGTAATCCAAAGAAGTAATGTATCCAAAGAATTAGGGAAACCGAAGAAGGAAGGAATCCAAAGAAGTAAGGAATTCAAAGTAGGGAAGCCAAAGGATAAGGAAGGAATTTAGAAAAGGAAGTAATTCAAAGAAGTAAGGAAACCAAAGAGTGGAGGAATCCAAAGAAAGGAAACAAAAGAAGGAAGGTATTCAAAGAAGTAGAGAAACCAAAAAAGTAAGGAATCCAAAGAAGAAAGGAATCTAAAGAGGGAAGAATGCAGGAATTTACGGCGACTGGTAGGCGTTATCACTTCCGACGTGTGGTCCTACGCACACCAGATTTTTATCGTCGGTCATCGTGCACGCGACCTATCAGATGTTTGAGGCACTGTAGACATGAGTACCTACTTACAAATGGAAAATTTTATTCTTGACTTCCAGTATACTAGCTTTTGAGAATAATCGAGGATATACGGTTATTTTCCAACCTCTCCGTAATTTTTTTACAGACATGTCCATTTTTCTTGATAATTTATTCCACTGTTCAGTGCTGAGTTGTAGATTCTCGAGATCTTCAACTCTTTCACACTTTCCAATTCTCATCATCCGTCTGATAAGTTTTCCCGATAGGTCTGCAGTCCAAGTGAGTTTGCTTTGGTTTTTTGTGTTTGTTAAAGTTTCGTATCTTTTCAAAACCGCGGTATTATTCCTATTCAAAATTTTCGCCAGATTCACAAATGGATAGTCAGAGTCTCCATGTTCTTTCATGAAACGCAAAATCTCCTTGTCTTCTTTTTGGGAAAATCTACAAAAATACGAACAGTACAAATCGGGACAGGAGTTGTGATATGTTGACAACCAACCGTCCTCTCCGTATGGACATATTTTCATATATTTTTTTGAATCTAGCAAAGACTCTCGATGGAAGACGATCATCTAAGCCATGAGAAATGTATTGCAGAAACTTAATCCTCTCTATTTTCTTCAATCTTCCGACATGGAAGAAGGCACATGGTTTTACATCCAAGTTATGTTCCTAAAAAAATAGACTGAATGAAATTTATATCAATAACACTGAATCTGTCTCTCTCAGGAGAGCGATAAAAAACTGTTGATCACTTTTTTCATAATCTTCATCTTTCTATTCGTTTTAGCCTTCTACATTTTTTTTGTGTTAGTCTTCTTCATAGATATGATAATATGTACGTGCTCTGTATTTTTATACTTTCTTTTTGTAAATTGTATAATTGGCTTGTCCGTTAATAAATAAATAAATAAATTCAATTAGGCAATCTAACTCAGATTAGAATCAATAAGGCGCCTGGTTGGAACCATATATTAAATCAATAGAATGATGAATACTGTCTGTAGGTTAATCAAGGAGGTATTACATTCATTTTACTTGATTATTTGGGATTTTCTTCCCTCGTTCCTACAAAATTAAAATATGAGTATTATTTAACAATAATTTTTTTCATCAGGAAGCCTAAACGAAAAATCCAATAGAGCTTTTGTCAGTGACACTTTCTTTGGAAAGAAGTTTGAAGACATCGAATTTTAACTTATCTTTGGACGTTTTGGGAACGAATCTGCTACCGTTTTCAACATAAAAATGCAAAATATTGTTCTTCGAAAATTTTGTTCTAGCGTTGATTGATGCTTAGTAATATATCAATCAACGGTTCTAGTTAGACCTCAGTGCAGTAAGCAATATTCTATTGTCTCCGTTCAGAAGAATGCAAGCGGATTCCTTGATTTTTCTCAAAAGATAAGTTCTTCCAAATACCTACTCAAGTTATTTGTAGAAATCAATCCTTACAAATTTGAAATCCAACTTCTCGTTTTACAGAAACTTATTTTTCATTCATTTTCGAAAATGCTTCGTTCACAGAATTTTACAGTTCCTGTATTTTCTCAACATTCCGTAATATAATTTTTTCTGTGACGGGAAAAAAGTTTGGCATTTCATCTCTGTTGGCAGGTTATAAAATGTCACTTTTCATAAAATACTTTTTTCCCGTGGGAAAAAGTGAGTACTTTTTTCCCGTGGGAAAAAGTGAGTACTTTTTTCCCGGATATATATCACATATATATACACTGTTGATGGCTTTTGTTGTGCTATAGTTCCGAAAAATGAGTCAATAATACCGTCTCCGAGAAAGAACTGCAAGTCCTTTTATCTTCCATTCGACTTCGCGGTTACGTATATTACTAAACAACCACTAAATTCGCAATTTTTTGAAATCAAATCACAGAATTAGACCGAAAGAAGTGACATCAGATATTTGATTACTTCAAAAGAATGATAAAGATTCCTGCAACGCAGGTGTCCCTACTGTTAACAACTTACGGGAACAACACGGGAAAAATATTAGATTTTAGCTCACGGTTTTTTGTCTCCCTCCGCTATACGCGTCGGGAGACAACACAACCTGGAGCTAAAATCTACTACTTTTTCCCTTGTATAATAAATAACTATTTCTTCATTTTTACTCTTCATATATTAAGTTGAGCTCACCCTGTACATGAGATATTGTTGGCGATTTTGAAAGTAGATTTTTGAAACATTTAAGCTATTCTGATTCCCTGGGACACAAATTAAGTGCCTTCGCCAAAATTTCAATTGACAGTATCCAATAGAGCGTTTTCTATCCTCTTAACTCAGAGGGATATTTCATTAAGATTACCCGTGATGGTTACAGCTGATAATCCTATTTCATTGTGTTTAACCGTGACGTCATTTCCGTTTGGGTACACCTCCCCTACCTGCCCTTGGGTTTACAGCTCCATAGTTGGTAAAGGTAGATCAAAGGTGAACTTGATTATTTGTTCACAAATGATGAATGTGAAAAATGGAAGATATGATGGGAACATTCGAATTGAAAATGAATGTAGTGGATGTCGAAGTGAGATACACAGGTAAACTGTGGAAGTGGGTAAACTGAAAGAAATGGGAATTCAAAAATAGTTAATGTTGACGTCATTATGACGTAGTTGCCCCACCATCTTCACCTGAATACTCTAACCACAGAATAGTGAATGAAATACCCCTCATATATAGTTCCGTCCTCGGTACAGTCTCAAGGTTGCCACTATTTTTAGCGAGATAAAAATTTGCATTGTTATAAATGGATTAATTTCAGAGATAACCTACAATATGCTATTTTTTACCGTGGCGGGAAAAAAGTTTGAAATTTCATCTCTGTTGACAGGTTATAAAATTTCACTTTTCATCTTTTCCCGTGGGGATATATATCACATATATATACTGTTGATGGAATTCGTTGTGCTATAGTTCCGAAAAATGAGCCAATAACACGGTCTCCGAAAAATAACTGCAAGTGCTCTTATCTTCCATTCGACTTCGCGGTTACGTACAATCACTAACAACTACTAAATTCGCAATTTTTTGAGATCAAATCACAGAATTAGACTGAGAGTTTATCTTACTTCAAGAGAATGATAAAGATGCCTGACGCAGGTGTCCCCTCTATAGAACAGTTCAAATATCACGTCGATAATTTTCTGATTTTAATATAATGTAATATCTTCACAATACTGATTCGTCATTTTCCGATAGAAGAAAAAAATAGTCGATATTCAAAATATAAATCGATAATAATTTGTGTTATCAATTCAAATGTATACCAGAAACCTCAATGATTTCCAACATTTGTGTTGACAATGTTGCCGCTTCTCAGAATTTGTCTGAAATATTCATTAAAAATGGTGAGCAATCAAAATTAATGTTGTTATAACTTTGTTGCCAATTGAAATTTATCAATGAAATTTTGCACTCAACCTAATTGAAGGATGTTGAATTCAGTGGTGGGGTCGATTTTTTTAAATCGCTAATGATATTTCGCAATTCTTTACATGAAAAAAATAATATAGTATGCCCTGTAGATTGAAATTTTATTTTGCAAATTTGTGTAAACGTAGATCTCCGGATAGTCCTTGTGCTGAAACGAAAAAAAAAAAAAAAAAAAAAAAAAAAGAAATCGGTCAAAAACTATAGATTTTATGAGGGTGCTCAGGTCTTAAGTGGGTCACACTGTACCTATATATTATGCATGACCGGTCGTAAAGTACACTTTAACCTCCAGGTTTGACTACTTTACCGCCCGGCGTATAGGTAACTGGTAATAAGCATTCCTGTATAATTCAGAACATTTATGTTTTAGTTGTGACGAGATTCTCTTGATAGATATTTCTGTGATGCAAAATGATATGATCAAACCCAAAATAAATTATCAGTGATGACATAAATTGACAAAAAATAATAGTCAACTCCTATTTAGAAAAATTGAATGAGTTACTATGATGTATTTATATCCTGTTGGACAGGTGAAGAGGTATTCTACAATGAAAATTCAAATACACTGGTCTTGCATAAAATGTATGAATTTCGGGCTTAACTTGCTTTTATGGGCCTAGGCCTGTTAATAGCTCTCGCCGTCGCTCGGGCTCTTACTTACAGGCTAAGGTCCATAAACGCCTATTTTACGTCCTTGGTACATACATAACTATTACTTACATCACAAAATTGCTTCCAGTTATTCATTATCACATTGTCTTCATCTTTGCTGAAAGCACCAGATTTTATACTGAGGTGCTGGACATCTTCTGGAATTTTTCTGTATAATATAGTTTTATGCAAAGGAGGAATTGGGAATGGTAGGAAAATCGTCAGACTCTTCAGAATTTCTTTTTCCAATTCGGTAGTTTCAACAGCCGACTTATTGTTAAAGTTTCTTCCTGATCGGGTCTTCACAATGGGTTCATCTTGTTCAGAATAATTTTTTTCTTGACTTCCAGTGGTATGATTTGTTTGCACTATTGGTCGTGGTGAATTTACTTTTTCTTTAGGTGTTGAAATTTCAAGTTCTGAGTCAAAATCCCTTGAATTTTCATTACCATTCAATATATTCTTCTCCACATTATTCTTAGTTATTTTGGAGTTATTAAAATCTCCATTTTTAGTGGAATTCTGAGAAATGATCTTCATTACTGTTTTTTCATTTTTTATATTGTTGTTGTCAATGTTCCTTGTGTGGTCTTCTGAAATATTATCTTGTAAAGAAACTGGCGGCGTTTGTGATTTCTTGTTTACATTCTCAGTATTTTCATCATTTTTGTGTGAAGATATTTCCACTATTTGCTGAGCTCTCTTTGAAATTGAATTTCTACTTCCTAGGAATGAATATTTGAATGTAAATAAATTATGAGAACTACAAATTTATTAGAATAGAATATATTACATCCATGGTATAGAAGTTATGGAAACGTTGTACAAAGAAACAAAAATAACAAACAAAAAAATGATAAAATCAATTAAAATTAAATTAGCACTAGTTGTCTACAAAAGTCATTGATCAACTCATTGAAGTGGTTGATTTTGTAGAGACTCATTCTCACAAGAATCTTTCCCAGCATTTTTTATAAACGATCTAACGGCAGGTTTCTGGTATCTGTGGAAGAGAATTGAAAAGAGATATTCCTATGGATTTGCTCTTTTCTAATCTCCTTCTATGAGGTACAATGTTATGCTTATATCTGGAATTATGACCATAAATGCCTGAGTGTGTGGTGAATATATATAATTTTTTCTGTGACGGGAAAAAAGTTTGGCATTTCATCTCTGTTGGCAGGTTATAAAATGTCACTTTTCATAAATTACTTTTTTCCCGTGGGAAAAAAGTGAGTACTTCTTTCCCGGATATATATCACATCTATATACTCTGTTAATGGCTTTTGTTGTGCTATAGTTCCGAAAAATAAGTCAATAATACCGTCTCCGAGAAAGAACTGCAAGTCCTTTTATCTTCCATTCGACTTCGCGGTTTCGTATATTACTAAACAACTACTGAATTCGTAATTTTTCAAAATCAAATCACAGAATTGAACTGACAGAAGTGACATCAGATATTTGATTACTTCAAAAGAATGATGAAGATGTCTATAAAACGCAGGTGTCCTTACTGTTAAAAACTTGAAATTTCACGTCGATAATTTTCAGATTTCGAAATAATGTAATATCTTCCCAATATTGATTCGTCCTTCCTTCTGTCACAGAAAAAAATAGTGTATTATACACGGGAAAAATATTAGATTTTAGCTCACGGTTTTTTGTCTCCCTCCGCTACGCGTCGGGAGACAACACAACCTGGAGCTAAAATCTACTACTTTTTTCCCTTGTATAATAAATAACTATTTTTTCAAAATGTATGAGATTTTCATAGACAATTTGTGAGTATAAGGGCATAATACCTTAATCTTGAAAAAATGGTTGGCAAAGTTCAGTTTGCTATGCTTCCTACAACTGCTTTTTGTAGTGCAAAGACAGTCAAAGCTATGCTAATTTACTACAGATGTTATCAATATGTGTGGCCCATGTGAGGGGTGGATTTTATGAAGATGATAATATCCATACCTCTGTTTTTATTTCATTAAAAAATAATTCATTATTATCAAACCATTGTTTTGAATGGGCAGTAACATCTGCTGAAATATCTTCAATATCTGTGCTTGAAGGATTCAGGTGGAGAGAAAAGGACATATCATCTGCATACAATATTGTCAGTAATTCATGTTTCAATAGCATATGTGAAGGAAGGTCATTGGCATAAATTAAAATTAAAATAGGACCTAATATGGACCCCTGTGGTACACCCCTTTTGATAAGTCATTTTCCACTCACATTGCTATTGTTGCAGACTCATTGAGTTCTATTATTGAGATAAGATTCAATGATACTTCTAGAAACTCCCCTCATTTCATACCATTCCATCTTGTCTAAAAGTCTATTATAACTGATGCAATCAAAGGCCTTTGACAGGTCTGTAAATATAGTTAGACAGAATTTTTTGTTTCCAAATGCTTAGAGAATATTGTTGGATAATTTATTTATTAGGTAGGTACATACTCATTGCTATAATAATCTTGCATTTGAATCTCTGTTGACAGTTTGATGTTGCCATTAAAAAAATTATATCAATTTTACAATAATCTGTATTGCATGATTTTTTTATCCATTGAGCAATTGTTGCAAAGACTGCATTCAAGCTTAATTGCTATTGGAATCATGCAATTTGCATAATTGACAGAATAATCAATTCTAACCCCATATGGGGTAGTAGTAGTAGTAGTATTTTCTTTCCAAAATAATATAAAAATTTCAAGAATCAGTTTAATTCATGAATGCTTACCAGAAACTGCACCCTTTGAGCTTTTGAAATAATCTAATATAGTTTTCCTTGTACTATGCATTGATCCATCAACAGGCCTGGTCAGCTCATCAGAATAATCAGAATCACTATCAGTGGCACCACCAGTACTCTTTCTTGTTTTTGTATTATTTTCAATGTTTGCTAGCTGATTTGGAAACCTGCAATTCTCTTCAACATCTACTTCTGTATCTTCTGAAATAATATGAAGGACAATAGAGATAACAAAAGGAATTCAATGTTTGAAAAGAGTCAAACTATATGTCAAAATTAGAAAAAAATATATTATGCTAAAAAATCACCATTACTGTAAGTTCTGTAGTCATTTGTTGATGTTCCATTAATACATTTTTTAGGGCTTGTTGGCTCATCACTGTCACTTTTGTAAATGGAGTAATATCTATTGTATTTTTGGGAAATGGGAGTAGGATTTTCTATAGCTGATTTGTTCTCCATTTGTGGTCCATCAGATAACTCTTCTTGTGGTTCTGTTTGTAAACTTTGTACTGTTAATACATCAGATGTAATAATGGATTGTTCATAATCTCTCAAGATACCACTGACTGAAATGTCTCCAAGTCTCCTTCTTCTTTTAGCTTTTGGGATTGATATGGCAGATTTTGAAAGATACTCTCTGTCCCACTCTTCTAATTTCTCTCTTTTTTGTTTCCTTGGAGTTGTAGGAATTGCTTCCCCCATTAACAATTCACTGCTCAAAAACTGATCCAATTTGGGATTACTGTGAATCAATGGAATATCTTCAATCACTCCCTGATTACAGGTTTCCCTTTTTTTGGATTTTTTCTTTGGTATTGAATCACTTTGAGGTTCCATCCTCTGATATTCTGATTTCAATACCATTTCTTCATCCAATTGTGAATCACAATAATTAATCATCTGTACCATTTCATTTGGGTCTGTTTTGATTTCATCTATTTTATTTTTGTGCTTTTTCCTATGTTTCCTTTTTACTTTTAATTTTTCACTATTAGTGTCTGAAAAATGTCTTATGATAATTTTTTGAGATACTAGATGTTCTTATACATATAAAAATTGAATGAATATTTGAAGATTAATATTCAGTTGAGTATTTCAATTCCTATGTGAATTAAAACATTTTACTATATTAAAATAATATCCACTGTGGTTCTGAATCATGGATATTCTGATAGGATTATATAAGATTTCAAATTAATTTTTCTTTTATGTTGAAAACAGTCTAAAAAGTGGTGTTACAAAATACTTCTTGCATTCAACATTCATCAAATTCTTCAAAGAAATAGTTAGGGAAATTGAATAGAAACATATTTTTTTATAGAATAAATCAGAGGAATTTGGATATATAGAATGGACTTGATAATAAAGGATACATAACCTTTATTTTAAGAAAAAAAATTGTTCTCATGTTAACTTAGGAAAAGCAACACTTATTTCATTGCTTACTTATTTCTTGGATTCAGTTGAGTAGATGAATCTGCAGATAAATGAAATGTTTAAATTAATGAGAATCTGATGTTATCTTACCAATTTCATCATCCATAGGTATTTCATAACCATATAATATTGTGTCTATATTTTTTGTTGGCATGATGAGGCTCTGATTATCAGGATGATAATCAGATTCAGTGTTTTCTGCTGTACCATTAGAGCTGTTAAAGTTTTCTGAATCAAGGTATTCAGCAACAGCCTGCCAATCTATAGGAAATTCTTGTTTGACATATTTTTTCATACTCCTGAATTGTGGAACATTTAAAAAATCTTTCTCATGGGATTTCTGCTTTTTCTTCTTTTTCTTAGAGACAGTGATTGTGTTATGATCAATTTCACTGTCTAGACTTGATGGTATTACTTCACTTTCTTGTAAACTTGATGCAGATTCATCATCACACAATGCAGTGTCTGAATGTTCCTGCAATTTTATGTCCCCTCCCCATACATTCATATCAACTGATTCTGAGATAAATTTAAATTTTTTCTTTTTAGTTGAATCTTTGGTTGACTCTGTGATTGTTTTTGATTTTTTCTTCTTATCCCTATGTCCTGTTGTTCCTGATTCAGATTCAACATTTTCTGGAGACAAAATATTCTGTTGTCTACTTTTTTTCTTTTTTCTTTTCCTAATATTGTCTTCAAATTCACTGTAATTTTCTTCTGGAATAGGGTGTACATCAATTTCCTTTTTCATTGCATTAATTTCTCTCCAATATGAATAGTACTTAGTAGTTGATTTCTGGTAGTTTTCAACACATTATAGGACCATATACCATAGATGTATTACTACCATAGAGGGTATTTCTATACTGTATCACTATTCTTGAATGTTCAGATGTTCTAATCTATGACTGAACATTTGATATCCTTAGGAATTCAACATGTCCAATTCCCGCTTCAATGACAGGAAAAATCCGCAAGAAGGTGGTCAGAAAAATGGGTGCCTAAGCTGGGCAATGGGCTTGGAGGAACACACAAATCAACAACGATAATAGTTTGCAAATGTGAGGAGACGAACAAGAGATTCAAGACTTCAAGAGAATGTAAAATGAAAATAAACGTGTAACTTCTAGGTTATGTTCACTTAGAAGTTTAGTTATAGTTAGGTTAGTTTGCTAAAATTCAAACAACCATGACTTTCGGTAGGGACGGCCTTCACCACCCCAAACCCACAACTATAATATCCCACAAATACAAACCTATACAAGCCCTACCGGATGGTGATGGGCACCCTACGGACTACGGAGTACGGAGTCAGAAAACCAAGAAACACAAAAAAAGAAGAAGAAAATATTGGGGTGAACAAAAATCAAAAATGTTTTGATTTGTTTTGGATCACTTTTGGATTTGAATATGGATGAAAATATCAATTACAAAGAAAATTGGACATTAATCAAGAGAGTTTTTCCTATTTTAGATGATGATTGTCCGCTTCATCAATTGGAAGATAGACTGTTTCTCAAGGAAGAATTTTATGAGGCAGTCCAGTTTATAAAAAAAATGAACTTGGTGCACCAAATTCAAAAATTTATTATTAGGAAAATTGAAAAGAGGTTGAGAGACATAGTTGCTCCAGAATTTTGGTCGTATTTCAGTAATAATGAACAGGATAATAAAGGATTTCAACAGTTTTACAATGCAGTGGAATGTTTATATGATTCTTATAAGCAACTGGAACACTCAATGAGAAAACTAGACATATTTCGGCAAGCAACAGAACTTGAAGAGTTGGTGAATAGTGAAAAATGTTTGAATAAAGCACTCAAACTGATTTTCAAGGCTACTTTACTATCTCAATTGAATTTAGATTACCAAACTACAGTTATGAGCTTTTATGAGTCAGCTCTTAGAATGGAGGACCTAGATGAAGGATATAATGGACAGTGTATTATATGTTCCCAGGAAAGCTTGCATTGCAACTGTATGAACTTGTTCAAAGAAACAAATCGGTAAATTGCATGATTCTGATTTGTAGATGTTGCTTCATATCTTCATAATTTCAGTAAATTAGGTGAAATGACATTATTGGAACCACTTGTTGGACAAACTTTAACTAATCTGATATATGGCTATATACACTCACACATACAAAAGATCTGCAAGGATAGTTTTGATTCTTCTTTTGTATCTACTTTAGAAAAGGTAGATGAGTATATGACAGTTTTGATTCCTCAATCATATATTTCTTTTATGTAGTGGTTGCAAAGTGTTGTATTGAATTGGCTACGTGACATTTATTGCTTTGATTCATCAACTTCCATCAGTGATTCTATGGGTATGTTTGAGAAGAAGCTGGTGAATTTTTTGTACAACAGTTACACTAAAACCAGAATAGATCAATTATTCAATATAATAATTGGTAAGCTGTAGTAAGATAAAACAGGACCTAGTTTCATTATAGGTAAGCATAATTTTCAGAATACCCAGAATCTCTACCAGCCTTGGAAGATTTAAGACTATGCCTTCCTAGAACAGATCTGAAACCAATGTTGACGAAAAAGTTACAAAAGGCTATGGAAACTAGATTATTACATCCTGGAGTGAGCACTCCTGATGTGCTCACTGCATACATAGCTGCTATAAGATCCTTGAGAGTATTGGATCCTACTGGCTTACTTCTGGAAGTAGTCACTCAACCTGTTCACCAATATCTAAGGAGTAGAGAAGACACAGTAAGGTTAGTATTTTCACTAGATAGTATGATGATGATGTTCATATAAAATATTGATGTGCTATACTTTAATTCTGATAGCAAGGTTACTTTTTGATGCTGAAGAAGCACATCCTTTACCATAACTTCTTCACAACTACAATGCTTTGATGAAATTGCTATCCTGAATCCTCAAGGCACTTTTTCCATCATTTTCATTACCTTATTGACACAAGATATATAAATGAACTGCTTCACAGGAAATGAAACCCTGAAGGCATTTTTTTCCTTATTCTTGTGTCTATTAATGTAGGTATTGATACTTGAGTGAACATGAAATTTTGTGGAAACCTACTTAGTAGTAGTAGATGGGGAGGCTGTAGCCAAGCAAATAGGCCCAATGGACCCTTTTTGCTATATAGGTACCTACATGGGAATAAGTATATTTTTCACATGCTTTTGAACAGTGCCTGATTTATACTCCCTTACTCCCGGACTAACTTTTACAATGCCGCCACGCCGCCGCCAAATATTTAATATTCAATTGACAGTTTCAAAATTCAAATAATCCTTTCACTGCTTTTTTACAGCATATAACAATATCATGAATTCATTATATCAAATCAAATTATATTTACTTCACATGTTAAACATAACAAATATTTTTTTCAGATGAATACTAAAATACTTTTCTTGATTTTTTTAATGCAAAGTCGTCAATGGCATCATCAACATTCAGATTCAATAGCATATCATTGTTATAACTTGAAATTGATAAGATATTCAATATATCCTCTACCATGGAATTCTAAGGTAGTTTTTCACTCTTTTTAAAGTTGAGAATGACCTTTCACCACTGGCATTACTAATCATCAGGGATAGTAAAAAAATCTCAGTAATTGCCAATATTCATTGAATTAGGAATTTGTTGTGATTATCCCTAAAACAATGCTTAGCCTGATCATCTATTTTTGAGATGCTTACTCTTCTTTTTCGCCTATTGAATGTAATAAAATATAAAACTTACCATTCCCGTCTTGAGATCGTGAAGTTCCTGGAGACGGTTCTGATTCTGTCTCATTTGAATTTGGAAAAAATGAATGTATTTTAGGGCATTTCTTGCTGCTTGCTTTTGCTCTTTTCTCTTTTTCTCTACCGCCTCTTGAAATTCACCGCCGGGGACTGATAGTCCCATAGCCCCCCCTAAATCCGGCACTGCTTTTGCATCCCCATAAGCAAATTTTACATAGTCTCTATATAGATGGTTTTTATATATCAGCTACCTGAAAACTGCAATTTAAATATAGGTACTGTAAGTATTAAAAAAAACAAGGTATGCATGATGTTCCTTGAACTCCGCTCCGACCAATAAAAAAAATCGGCGCCTTTAACTAAAAAATACATACGTTATTTTTTTTCATACCAGAAAAGTGGAACACTTTTTCTGAGCAATTGAACAATCTCAATTGTGCCAATAACTAGAATTTTACTTGAGTTCTCAATTATAATGGTTGTATCAATCCAATTTTGGTATATATATATTATTGTTATTCAAATAATGGTTTTCCCCCAAACAACTCAAAACTCGTCCATTTTTGTTCCAAAATTGGTTCTTGGAGTTGAAGTTCCTCTTACTTACCATCAAGAATAATAATCAAAATTATAGAACTTCAACCTATTTCGGATCATCAACTGAGAAATTAGCTTCATTTCTACATAAACAGGACTTAAAAGTGGCATATAGAACAAATAACACGTTGGGACGGTTTATCAAGAATAATAAAGGCAAAACTTCTAAATTCGAAAAATCAGGGATATACAAACTCAAATGTAGATCTTGTCCTAAGGTATATATCGGTCAGACAGGTCGTACGTTTAATCAGCGCATTCATGGACATAAGATGAATTTTATGAAAAAGAAAACAAATTCAACATACGCCAACCATATATTAGAAGAAAACCATAGTTTTGATGATAATTTCGAAATTCTGCACGTGGAAAATAAAGGATTGAAACTCAATCATTTTGAATCATTAGAAATCAACAAACTCAAAAATTTTGACATTTTACTTGATGATCAATTCGACCTCAATGATTCACCACTGTTGAATTTGTTTGATATCAACTCTTTCAAGTTAATGTAGATATTGTGCCTAATTTCCGAAAATGGAGGTTTATCGTACCTGCCCACAGGTAACTAATCCTTCAGGTTGGGAAAGTAAGATATATAAAAGTTAAGCAAGCCAACGTTAGTTTAGTTCATTGTACCAGTATATCACCTGACGAAGCTACTGTGTTATCGAAACATGTCGTGTGTTTGAGAATTTTGTGGAAATCTTATCGTTTGTGAAGTTTTTACATTTAATAACAAAATGTTCTGTTCCCTAGAGACACGCACAATTTACAATATTCTAAGAAACAAAAAATATTCGATGATTAGGTGCTGATTATTATTTTTTCTATTATTGCACTTTTTTTACAAAATACAAAAGATGTCATTCAACGGTATTCAACATCATTTCTTTCTGATTGCGTTAGGTAGGTAACTTATGGTCGTATATTGTTTCTCACAATATAAATGCATTTATAGGTTTCCAATTGGAATTATTGAAAAAAAAACTTGATCAAATGCGAAACGTTTCATTCTAGAAACATACTTTTTTCTACAAATGTTATAATACCACTTTTGTATAATTTTTTCATCGAAAACTTCATCATCACCCAATGTCAGTGTCAAATTTCATTACCTGTTGCTATTCAACCAACGTTGAAAACCTCTTTCAATCGACGAATCATGATTTACATTTTATGTACAATCAATATTATGAGTTGAAGTTGAAGGGAATCGAATCTATATCGTTTTGAAATCAGCATATTTTATTCGATATTTCAAACAGCCAAATATGATGGTGGAGTCGTGACGTATTAGTCCCGAACTGTAGCTATCTCTCTCTGATACCTTGTCATTCTGCAGTGTTACAGTGTAATTGGTCAGTTCAAGGACAATAGGCGTGTTGGGACTAAGACGTCGCACCAAATGAATTGATGAAATTTCGAATGGCGCAGGAATTGTGTGTTTTGAATTGGACATATTCTAATTTAATTTTTTCATCGTCTTAGCATGAATGAAAAAATTCAAAATTAATTCACTGGTAGTTTTTCAGTATAGAGTTCACGATAATGTCGTTTTAAAAAAGCAGTGGTCTTCCCCATTGAACAATGTCTGTGAGCTCACCTCTTCCAGGTGCGTAGTTAGTAGTTTGACTGAAGAAGGCCCTAATGATCTGGCTGAAGAGCTGGTTAGAGGAGAGGCTGTTCAAGTGGACGAAAATACCCCTGTCGATGAAGACACCGAGAATTGGGAAACTTGGGTTCCAGATCCAATAGATGCAGTTCCAAGTACACAGGGTGAGTCAAAAATGTGTACCGCGAGCTTTCTGGAGGTGATTTATCTGCTGATATCATGTCACTACAAAAACTCGAATTTCTCGAAAACGGTTACAATTTTTGTATTCTGTGTCATAAAAATTCAGTCTGGTGGCTTTTACCGTTCAGAAGTTATGCGGGAAAATTATTTCAATGTTATCAACTCTGGAAGGATATTTATATCACCCTTTATATAGTGAGGACGTAAAAAGTCCTCTCCCCCCCCCCTTTAACCTTTGAACGAAATAAGCTAGCGAGGTCGGGTGAAATTCAGGCAAAAAGGTACCTCTTTTACTACTATTTGGCATGAACATGGTTGTGGTCACGTGACCTAGTGTCAAGTGGGCACCATCAACTTTTTTTTTCAAATATGAAGAGGGGTCACGTGGTACCTTGTTTTGAAGGCCTTTCTATTCTCTATCCACCTCCGCTTTGTTTGTGCAAATCGGTCAAGCCGTTTCAAAATGACAATCGTTTGAAATGTACCTCGGAAACAGTAAATCACGTTCGGATTGCATTCCAAAACCGATTTTTTCGTGTCAATGAACGATGAACATTTCGAGCATGTTTGAGCACTTGTTACAATTCCTACTTGAAATTCTGTTGCAATTGAAAGGTATTTAGGTTTTTTATTCATCAATATTAATTGTTTAAAAGAAATATTCTCAGATGAATTATGAACATACAAAAATGGATATATATTTATATAAAGCAATACATTGAGAATTCGCATTCTCTATGTGATGAGAATATCGACTCTTTTTCAGTTTATTCGATAGAAAACAACTACTTTCCTGGCTATATGCCACGACGAACATTGAATTATATCTATTGAACACACACGATAAGAGTTTGAAAATAAAATATAAAATCTTCTGAAATTGAGACAAAAATATGTATATGCACACATCATTCTGAATATTCAACAGAAAACAACTACTTTCCTGGCTATTTCCCACGTCGAACATTGAATTATATCTGATGAACATTCAAAAGGGGAACATGAAAACTGAAAAATAAAATCCACCTTGCCATCAATAATACCAAATACAACAGATGGAACACAATAGGTATGGATGTTTGCGATTCCCAATATGACTATTCTACCAACCTTGCTATCACCCTCAGAATGCTCGGTACACATTCTTGACACACCCTCTATATATAATTATCTAAATTTTGCTGGATGTCAATGTCTGCATGTTTATTTTTCAGGTAAATCTTCGGTATCACGTAGAACCTCAGACATAATTTCCATGTTGGTCAATGTCTATGGAAGCAAAGAATTGTTCGTTAATGAATACAGAACTCTCTTAGCTGATCGACTTTTGACGCAATATTTGTGTGATACGGAGAAGGAAATTCGTTATTTAGAGTTGCTCAAGTTACGTTTTGGCGATTCTCAGTTACATTACTGCGAGGTTTGAGCATTGAGATCTTTCTTACAGTGTGTCCACCTCTGAGAAAGCTTTCTTTTTCATGATCTTGATAAACTTCAGGGTAGGCATTTCAAATGCATGTTCAACAAGTGGTGGAGAAATAAGAACGGTTTAGGGCTATGGACTTTTTTTTTTAATAGAATTGTCACACGATTACGAGCCTTTCAATTCCATATTTTTTTAGATTTTTTCGGTCGATATTAAGGTGCTAAAATCATGAATATTGAGCATTATGGAAAATCAAACATGAGGGCAACTCAAGTCGTCAACGGGCTATCAGAGTCATGTCTCACGATTAATTAGCTATAAAAAATTCAGTGTCTCGAAATTGCCACTCTTGTATGTTATTGTCTTATTGGTTATGATGAATTTGTGTTAATTATAATGGGGAAGAACACTGAGGGAAGAAATCCGTGCAAACCTCTTTCAATCGACGAATCATGATTTACGTTTTATGTACAATCAATATCATGAGTTGAAGTTGAAGAAAATCGCATCTATATTGTTTCAAAATCAGCATATTTCATTCGATATTTCAAAAAGCCAAATATGATGGTGGAGCCGTGACGTATTAGTCCCGAATTGTAGCTATCTCTCTCTGATACCTCGTCATTCTGCAGTGTTGCAGTGTGATTGGTCAGTTCAAGGGCAATAGGCGTATTGGAACTAAGACGTCGCATCAGTCACACCAATGAATTGACAAAAATTCAAATGGCGCAGGAATTGTGTGTTTTGAAATGAACATATTCTAATTTATTTTTTTCATGGTCTTAGCATGGATGAAAAAATTCAAAATTAACTCACTTGTAGTTTTTCAGTATAGAGTTCAAGATAATGTCGTTTTAAAAAATCAGTGGTCTCTCCCATTATCTGGATTCCGGTGAACGTGACTAGGGTCCCTTGATGGAAATTGACGTTAAAGTCATCTTAACAGGTTACGGACAGATTCTCGTCTCATCACACTCTAAAGTGTTTGTGAAACAGTTATACAGGGTGTTTCATTATTGAATGTCAATATATGAGGAGGCGATTCTTAGGCCCATTCTAAGAAGAAAGTTTCATATACACGTATGACCTATAAACGTCTTAACTTTCGAGATACAGGGTGGTAGTTCTCGAAAATTAATAAACTACAATGAAAAGTTATAATTCCAAAATACCAAATACAAATACGAAGTTCATGAACTATGAATTGTATTCCTGGAATTTGATCGAAAAGATAAAATCTAATCCTCTGCATTGTGATATTGTCATATTAGCGATATTGCTTTAATCATGTAGTGAACAGCTTTTTATTTTTTTAAGGGAAAACCAAGCATCAGATTGAAACAATTGTGATGATCAAATTTGTTCATAAATGATTGGGAATATCAGGAATGATTTCAATTTCGAGATTAATTAGTGGCATACCATCAATGTCTGCCAAAATAGGTATGTGAAATTCCATACGAATTACAGATATTGATAAAAAACTATTTATTTTTGAGAACTTTACCACCCTGTATCTCAAAAGTTAGGACGTTTAGGTCATACATTCATATGAAACTTTCTTCTTAAAATGGGCCCAAGAATGGCCTCCCCAAATATCGACATTCAATTATGAAACACCCTGTATAGTTGTATCCTCATTCAATTCTGGGGATAATCACTAGACTTTTGACATTTGTTGTTTTTTAGGTTATATTGAGGTCCTTGGCGTTTCATACGTAATTTCCATATGGAATTCCTGATTCAACTATACCAAGATATAGATGAACAATCCTCTAGTTTTACTACTCCAGCATAATCTTTGCGCAGTAGGAAACATAGATATTGTACCGAAAGCTTAATATATTTCACCAAAGGAGAATGTACTTAGCCAAAGGAGACTGTACTTAGACTGTATACCAGGGTTGACTGAATTGACTGAATTTCAAGCTGAGCAGTAGTTTATCTATGAGCTAAATGAGCTGAGCCTTATGATTGATAAATGGTGAAAACCTCGAAGTGGGTATCTAAACTACTGTACTCATGTCATGTGTGCTAAATATATTTTCGGAAATCTAACTCCGAGAAGAATTTATGGAATGACTAATATCAAGGTGTTTCTTAAGTACGTGTAGAAAATTCAGGAGCATGTTGCTGACGTCTGAATAGGAAGAAAAGTTCGTATAAACATATGTCCGAAAGTTATCCGTTTCTGAGATACAGAGTTTCAAAGTTGAATTCTTATTGGACGAGTTCAAAAAAGCAGGTACAAATAAGTAAGAATCATATTTTGCCTATATTCCAATGTTGAATGAAGAAAAATATTGAATGAAAGAAGAAAACTGCACTGGTGGCGACTTACGAGCCACATGGAAATAATTCGATTGCATATATTATTTCGAATCCCAATAACTCGAAAACAGTTGCGCACAAAAAAGTGATAACTTTTCAAAAGACTCAGAAGACATGTAGGAGGCGCCACCCCCACGAAACAGACAAACTAACATAAAATTTGATATTGTAATTGAAAAATACCCCTAGATACCAAATTTTATTCCGATATCACAATTATTTTGAAATTTATCAACAAAAAACAAAAATAAGATTTCAACTTTGACACTCTGTATCTCAGAAACGAATAACTTACGGACATATATTTACACAAACTTTTCTTCTTATTTGGACGTCAGCAACATTCTCCTGGATTTTCTACACGTACTTAAGAAACACCCTGTATATTGGGTTCGTCATCTTGAATTTTCCAACCCCGGAAAACCCCAGATACCTTCCAATTTTGAATTGAATCGGATCATAATTACAAAACTCGATCGCCATATGATCTTCCTCAACAAGTAAATACCCTGTACATATCTATTATTAAAATTTTGAATGATTTTCTGTAGCGCCCATGGATGTGACGTTATAGCAATGTCAGGGATGCCAGTACACAAAACTTGAGTCTCTAGATCATTAAAAAAGAATGCAGCTATGATCTGTCCGCACCCTGTTAAACAGATGACTGCAACGTCAATTTCCATCAAGGGACCCTAAACGTGACAACACAGGACTGTGGGCGTTGTCTTGTCGGTTTTCTGCTTGCAGCATAACATTGCCAAGTATCTATAGCCAATATTTACATGATGTTTTGTTATAGAGTATAAGAAACATTTTGACAAGGTGGTTGCTCACATAATATCATGGTTTCCTCCTATTTGGTCAAATGAAATGTTTTATTTGGATGTTGTTTCATTCAACGATACGGCTCTAACAACGTTTTAATAACTTGATTAAAATTTGTGATCTGACAACCTTGCTTTATGAGCGAGAATGGAAGATTATCTGACCAATAATGAATTAGCATAATAAACTGACGTCACCATATATATCCGACGTATCCGAAAAAATGTTAAATAATCTACCATTGTTGTTCATTTATGAACATTGTGTGGAAATGACTTTGAGCTTTTTGTTTTTATTTGACATTTCATTCCACTTCGAGCATTGTGGATATTTCGTAGTTGAAATTACGCCAGTCGAGCAACCAAACACTCCCGTATGGGAATTTTGGTTTTGGAGTGTTTCTTTCCTTCTTTTTTACTCAGATGGCGTTGCTCTCATATTGTGTACGGAGGACGCCTCTGAGGGAATATAATACCGACTTGATTTTTGTTTGGCTAGGCTATGCTCAGTCTGCGGTCTTAGGACTGCTGGCTGGAGACTGCCCTGCACTGATGAGAGACATAAGCTCGAAACCAGTCTGTAGTTGACTAGCGTGGCCTGGCTAAATCGAAATCAATAGGCATTCAGGGAAGAATTGCTTCTATCAGTATTCGTTTATACGAGTCGACGCATAGATTCATATTTGAACATTGCGTGGAAATGACTTCGAGCTTTTTGTATTCCTTTAGTCTTGCATAGATCATCTATTTGCTATGGTTTTTAGTGAAAAATATCCATAATCTCTATTTTTTAAATTTGATCCTATAGAAATGGTCCCATTTTTCCAAGACGGAAGTCACTTGCTGAAACCGCATTTCATATCTCCTACTTACCCAACGAAAATAATGGTTTATCAAGATCGATGAAAAATAGGTTTCACAGGGATGACAAGGCCTTAAGGTGGGTACACTGGGGAAATGGCCTCATGCCGGTTTTTTCAGGTTATGCTGAAAGATATCGCCGATTCCAAAAGAATCAACCAGCATATAAAACAAGATCCGGAATATACCGAGAGCGATATTCCTATATCGGCCATGATTGTCTCTGCACAATTTTGGCCGCCATTCAAAGAGGAGAAATTGGAATTGCATGCCAAATTGCAAAGCCAGATCGCGAGTTATGTGAAGGGTTTCGAAACTCTGAAGGGTAGCAGAACGTTGTGCTGGAAGAACCATTTGGGATTCGTCGATATAGAATTGGAGATGGCTGATAGAACGTTGAATTTATCTGTTTCGCCTGTTCATGCCACCATCATCATGTATTTTCAAGATAAAAGTTAGTATTGTTTCGGACATTGAAAAATTTCAAGAATTATCAAGGTATCTGAGGATAATTTGAAACAACTGCTCTGCTTCGAGAAGAAACACTTTTCTAATAGTAGAATAATTTACCTTCTTCAATCAACTCATAATGAGGGCCGAACAGGTAACTGAAAAACCTTCGAAAAATTCATAAAATTCTTAACCCAACCTACACATGGCCTTGAATTACTGACAGCTATGTATTCGCATAGTTTTATGTAAATAGGTATTGGTCAGTGAGCAGTCAACATCAGTAAATTGTTGAGGTCTTTATATAACCGTTAACTAAATTTAAATTTAGAGTTTATTGATTTTAAATGATTTACAGATTCAATAATAGGCGAGTGGAATATTTTTTTTATTTCTCAAATAGAATCATTACTCAATTTCCTTTCAATTCCTTATTTTTAAAAAAAAAATTTCGGTCGATTTTAAGGTGCTAAAATCATCGATATTGCCACGGTAACTTACAAATGGCTAGAAATTAACCGCAAATAAAAACTTACGTTACGATTTCGTAAGTAGGGGCAGACCATGGCACAGTTGCCATATGTTGAAATACGAATGGGAACTTCAGAACTATTATTTATTCAATAATTCATAGCCGTGGCACTTGATATCTCCAAGGCATTCGATCGAGTCTGGCACCACGGACTCCTCGCCAAGCTCCCATCTTATGGCTTGCCTCCCCAGCTATGTTCTATGCTAGCTAGTTTTATCTCAAACAGGTCTCTCCATGTAGTGGTCGACGGAGTTTCATCTGACTCTCTTATCATAAATGCCGGTGTTCCGCAAGGATCAATTCTAGCACTATTTCTACTCCATATCAACGATTTATTGGAAGCAACTTCATGTCCAGTACACAGCTTCGCGGATGATAGTACCCTCCATTCCGCCTTCTCTTCCCTCTTCCAGGGCTCCAATACCAGTCAGGCGAATCAGAAACGAACGAGGAAGAAATGTTGACAACATAAATATGGCAACAATTCTCGAGTGGGAATCCAATAACTTGATAGATTTCAATGCGAACAAAACACAAGCATGCCTTTTCTCTAGAAAAGCCGATCTAACTGTGCCCAACATAAGCTTGTCAGGAGTAATCATACCTTTGAAGACATCCATTTCGATGCTTGGTATTACTATCAGCAATAACCTTTCTTGGGAGAATTACGTGAGATCAATTGCTAAAAGTGCATCCCAAAAACTTGGTTTTATGTTTCGGGCCAGGAGCTATTTCACTTCCAGTCAGCTGCTTATAATCTATAAGGCACAGATATCTGTCCTGGAATAATGTTTCCATATTTGGAGTGCAGCACCCAAACATACCCTGAAACTGTTGGATTCTGTCCAAAAAAGGGCAATCCGTCTCGTGGGTGATGCCTCGCTCACAAACTCACTCACTTCTTTGGAACACCGTAGAAAAGTTGGCGATCTGGCTCTATTTCATAGATATTTTCATGGACGATGCTCTTCTGAAATATCAATCATTGTTCCTCCCTTGGCAGTCCCCGCGAGATTAAGCCGTCGAGTTGAGGCTTCGCACCCCTTCATAGTCACTTTGGAGACCTGCAGAACATCTCTCTCCAAAGACTCGTTCATCCAACGAACAGCGAGGCTCTGGAACACATTGCCAATGAAGGAGTTCTCTGAGGCATATAACCTCCAGAAATTTAAGAAGAAACCAATTCCTACCTTATTTCCCTTGGTTCTCACGATGTTCTCTGAACATTATAGGATATCCCTTTTCGTGGGAACCAGAATATATATAAAAAATTCAATTATGTATTGGTAATATTCTTAATTAGCTATAAAAAAATCCATTGTCTTCTAATTTTCCTTTTTATATGTTGTGTCTCATATATAATATTAATATTTAATTTGGATATAGTTTTATTCAATGACAGGGCTATAACAACTGATTATAATTAATGACTTGACAACCTTTCTTCATGAGTGGGAATGGAAGATTTTCTGACCAATAATGAAACAACATAAAAACTATTCACTATTCATTTGACGTACCGCCAAATGGCGGCCATGAAGGTTCGTTTGAAATGAGCTCAGAAATTCGGCAACTTTGAACAACGCATAGACACATTATTTACATAAAAAACGCGTGAGAATTATGGCAAAAATCAATTCGCAAGTCCCTTACGATACAGTAAAGTAATTGAATGCAAATTATTCACTACTAGTCCACTCGCCCATTCTCTCTACTCCATATCCCAATGTATGATTCTGACGTTATGATCAAGACTATAATTTCCAGAAATATTATTTATATCCATTTGGTTGAATGAGGTGGTAAATTATTGTTTTATTTTTTTGACCAACATATGCATATTTCAATGTTCAAAATATGTATGTAGGTACTCATTTCAAAATCACCTTGTAGGTGTAGAACGAGACAATGACTCAGGTTTTGTTTTTATTATTATTGATCTTGACAGACAAAACAAAGAAACAAGAATATTTGAACTGGAGTGGTCTTGTGGTGTCCTAAGGTGAATAGTTGTCAAAAGTCAAACATCAGAGACCTTTATGGAAAAGAAATTAAGTAAAACATGCTAACCATATTTACAGAAAATTTCAAATCACTAATATTTGATGAGTTCGCTCGCTATTTGTAGCCCTTCTTTCTTTAAACAATTGAGTATTTGGTAGGTACGTGGGAATTGGAGGAACTGAGTAAAGTAATGCAATGTCCACCCACGGTTCTGAGACGAAAAATCGGATTCTGGCAGTCTCACGGCATTATAGTTGAAACCGGGCAAGACGTATTCTGCATTCAAGAGGATCTCGAAAACAAAGATAACAATTTACAGGAAGACTTGTTCGTTGAAGATTACGAGTCAGAGTCGGCTATGGCTAGTGCGCAAGATCAACGAGAAGAAGAACTACAGGTGAGAAAAATGCTCTTGTGTCAAATATGTCACAAAAACCTATCACTGAACCTTGAAATAATTTGGTATAATTTGGTAATACCATACGCCATGCGCTCATTTGGTTTCTATGCAATATAAACTACTCAACACTAATTTCGTCGCACACCAAAATGTCCCTGTTATAATGTGAATAACTTTTTTCAGTTAAGAACAATTTGAATTTGGTTCACACTGTTCGATAGCCCAGTCCTTCAGCTATAATCTGGTACTTCATTGAAACATAGGGGTATCCACATAAAATCTCTACATGGTGTTTTCCGACACTGTGCGAAATTTCGGAATATTCAAAAGGCTCTCAAATGGTGAAAAAAATGTTTTTCCCAACTTCGACAACAGAGGCATGAAGATGATTTCATTACCTCGAGATATTTCGCGAATCAACTTCCTATCTCTCTTATTTACAGAGTGATCTCAAAAAATCAACTTTTTGGTTTTGCAGCCATAACTTTTTTCCACGTCAACCGATTTTGGAAATCAGCAAGGGATTTTGATTTTTTCAATAAAGTGATTTTTTTAACAGTTGTCACGTACATACATAACATGCGATTTAAGAATATGGAGAAGTATTCAAGCAAACAACGTTTATTTATTGTAAAAACGCATTTCAAAAATGGTGAAAGTTTCACGAAAACAATTTGCCAATTACGTAAAGTTTTCAGTCGCAATAATGCGCCGAACGAATCGACAGTAATAACCAAACAATTCGTGTCGGAGATAAGCCCTTTGAATGGATCAGACTGTCGTGTTTAGCAGATCCGCGATTTGGAGGAAAGATATCCCTTGTTCCCTCATTTGTGGAATCAGTTCTAACTGGTCGGGCGTTAGATGCGGCATCGAAACTATCAAAATCTGTTTATGATTCGAAAACGACGTCTAACCTGACTTGTCAGTCACTTACTGTGATTCTTGTAACGTTGGTTACGGGCCATGCATTACAGAGGAGAAATTATCTGATGTTTCTGCTAGAGTCCCTGTATGTATTTGACACTTTTGCTGTAATAAGAGTACGGACACTATGACAAGCAGTGACAGAAGGCATAACCCTAAAAAATTTGAAATGACATGAACAATTTGGCGGGCACTGACAGTTCATGAACGTACATGACATTAAATTATTTGAAAATTCAGGTTTTCAAAAATTAAAATGTCTAATTGTGTAGTGGAGAATTGTAAAAATGGAAGCGAGTCCTTTCATTCATTCCATTTCCCCCATTCTAACCAACAAGTACATATACCCTTTGTTAAGTATATCGAGAAATACTTTCAACAAATTGATTTACAAACTATGACCCCTTTTCGCCAGTGAGATGAGACGCCACTTCTTCATGAAAATAAAGACAGAGAAAGATATATGGATGTACCCTTCACCGCGGCAGTAGAGGATAGAAGATCCGAAGTGCATGGAAAAGCATATCCATGTCTTTGTTCAGAAGTCATTTTGAGAATTTGGGGTTATGCCTTCCGTCACTGCTTGTCATAGTGTCCGTACTCTTATTACAACAAAACTGACAAATATATACAGGGAATTATACATACAGGGACTCTAGTTTCTGCAAGTACATATTTCAATTGTGTTTTCTCACGCACTTTCTTGACCACTGAGAGCGAGGAAAATATGGACGCATCCAGAATGAATTGTTTTTCCGAGAACAAGTTGATTTTCATTCAACTGAGATTCGGAGGGCGTTCCAGATTTGGGTCACTTTCAAGAAAACTCTAGATCTTTGATAGCCATTTTGAGTCAATTATGATATTCAGATCTCTTCATCTGAAGTTTTATCTTCAAAATGAGCCTAAGATTTCCAAAATCGGTTGACGTGGAAAAAAGTTATGGCTGCAAACCCAAAAAGTTGATTTTTTGAGATCACTCTGTAAATAAGAGAGATAGGAAGTTGATTCGCGAAATATCTCGAGGTAATGAAATCATCTTCATGCCTCTGTTGTCGAAGTTGGGAAAAACATTTTTTTTTCACCATTTGGGAGCCTTTTGAATATTCCGAAATTTCGCACAGTGTCGGAAAACACCATGTAGAGATTTAATGTGAATTCCCTTATGTTTCAATGAAGTACCAGATTATAGCTGAAGGACTGGGCTATCGAACAGTGTGAACCAAATTCAAATTGTTCTAAACTGAAAAAAGTTATTCACATTATAACAGGGGCGACATTTTGGTGTGCGACGAAATTAGTGTTGAGTAGTGTAGTTTGTTTCTCAAAATCGAATGAATTTGTATTTCATCAATGCACTTGTTTCATTACATACGCATTTCCTTGATTTCAGACTTTCTGGTCATATATTGTGGGAATGTTGATGAACTTGGATACCCTTCCTTTGGAGAGGATACACCAAATGCTGAAAATGTTTGCATTTCAAGGACCAACCATTGAATGCAACCTTCAAGAATTGAAGGTATTTTTAGACAGAAAAGTGAGAGAACACCATTTGATTTATTCAAATGGTTATTATAAACTTCCAAAGTAAATTAATTCGACTTTTGGAAATTATTTTTGTCATAGATGAGATGCTTAATAAAAACAAACTATCGAATTCAATATTTGTATATTAGCAAAAATGTGAAACAACAATATAAAAATAATAAATAACAGCTAAACTAGGTTCTTCTATATGTTCATTTGGTAGATAACAATCAACAATAAATAAGTGGAGGAAAACCACATTTCTGTTTTATAAAAGGTGGTCCGGTTTGTAATACAAAAATATTCAATAATATAATAATGTGTTGTACTTGTTGGAACAATAAAAAAGTTCATGTAAACATATACCAGTCTGAATATTGTTTTTTAATGAAAAGTGACGCGTTCAAAAGTATATGTGTATATGGACTTTCTTATTATTTCAACAACTACAACACTTTGTTTGATTTTTTGTATTACAAACCGGACCACCCTGTATATCCGATATACTTTCTATTCCAATGGGGAAGTTTCCATTATCAAGGTTTTTATCTCACTGTAAATTTTGTAAAAAATTAATAAATACGTATTTTCTCTTTTTTCGTAAGATCTAATTTCACTCCAGAAAAAAATATTAAAGAGGAACTTGGCTCCTCCACCATTCCTATGACGTAGTTTCTGAAAATCCACATTCACACAGAGTTAAAATACGATTCCCTGTGCCAGTTCGACGTTGCCGACATCATCAATATGTCTAGATTTCCGGGAAATTGTTCTTTGAATGCATAATAACTATATCATAACAGCAATAGGATATAATCGGTTCTTCAATCCTACGTTGTCAAGTATTATGAATAATTCCCATAAATCTCTCGTTGGCTGAATGAAATTGATTTCTAATAAAGATAAATTATGATATTTTGCAATAGTATCTATAATTTTTCACTTCCGTTATATTACAATATGTTATTCATAACTTGTCAGTAATTTTTTTGCTAATGAATTCGTTCCTTAATGAAACGGATCTATTTTCTAGGAAAGTTGCAGATTATATCTTGCAACAGCGCCTAATACTTCGAGTCCGTCCACACCACTCAAAATACTTGTATGTTGAGGAATTTTCTTGAATCGTGTTATGTTTTTGATTTGCAGCTTCTTCTTGGGGTGAAACCTAAACCAAACCCCAAGAAGAAGCTGCAAATCAAAAACTCAAAATACTGACAGGCACAACAAGAGGAAGGAGCCATGGGTGTCGGCTTCATTCTGTTCTGACCGATGGCAGTAAATTAGGAAGGATTGTACCATTGAATGTAGCCGATAGTGATTCATTGATTCAATGATATTTTCGTTTAAGATCGAGCTCTATTCGAGATATTTCAATGCATAAATAACAAAACCATAACCTGTCAGAATGAAGCCAACTACCTTCTGCATTCCTGCTCTGAGTGCATTTGCGGTTATGTATGTTTTGTTTACCAGTTTTACTCCTTCTTTTATTAGCTATTCGCTAGCTATATTCTTCACCATCAGATATTTTCAGACTAGATTAAGAATGTACATCACAGTTACAGATATTGCTTTAATTTGAAAACGACTTGGAATTTATCGGTCGCCATTCTGTACAGCGTGGACATAAAACTGCAGAGTTCCGAACTTATTTTATGATAATTCATCCGAAGGAAACTTCCCCATTAACATATTCAATTATTCAATCCTTTTTATTAAAACGGTTACCCCTGCCTCTTTTATTCCTATTCCTACCGTGCGTTTTTTTATTCTGGCCAACTATTAGTTCATGTCGTTCGCTTGAACTACCGTCAGGCTTATTATCAGGTAGAAGAATATAGGAATGAAGAGTTGAAGACTGTGCTTCAGCTATATCATAACTAGGCCTATGATTTTTCAGTCTATCGTCCTCTTCGTTCATGATGGAAAAATTAAATTCTGGATGTTCCATGGTGCTGATCAAAGGCGATTGGTTCATCTCCAGGATGTTCTTGTTGTAGCTAGAAAAATCAGCAGGTAACAGGGAAATGGTCGGGTAGATTGTCGACCCTTGGAAATGTAGCAGAGGGTAAGAAGTGCTCAGCTCTAGCACATGGGGCTTGGCGTTGTGTTTCTTCTGTTTAGCTTTGGCACCTTTGGCGTCTTTTCGTTTATTGTTTTTGTCTCGTTTTCTGTAGTTCTCTTGGGAATGCTGCATCACTTGGTCGGAGTTTAGAGGGACCCAGTCATTTTGAAAGTTAGTTTTGGGTTCTTGTCTGCGAGAGTGCTGCTGTGATTCCCCGAATTTTAGGTGAGTTGCTTGGTCGGGATTTCTGTGAGCTGGTTTTTTCTTCGTCGACGATTTGTGAGTCTGAAAAACACTGATAGCTTTAGCACAAGATTTATCCCATTATTATTTTCTTTCTCAGTAACTTTTGATTGAAAATGGAGTGATCTGATGTATTATATTGAATTTAAACAACAAAAAAGTCAATTTCAACAAGACACTCTAGCAAAAATTATTCATTTTCGAACAAAATTGTTTGAACTTGCGTTTTATAACTCACTTCGGGTTTTCTACCTGCTGAAATAGTTTTTGTTTCATTTTCGTCAGTAAGATTTTCATATAAGTATAACCAAAAAATGGAGAAGAATCAACGAGAGATTATATACCGGGTGTCAACCAGGGCCGTAGTTATTTTTTAGGGTAGGCAAAAAAAAATTTGGACAGGCTAATATTTTACCCACCTCAAAAATCATTCTTTGGTAAACAAATATCAGAAATATATTCTGATGTTTGCGATAAAGGTCCAAAGCTGAACCTCCTAGGAATTTTAGAAATTCAAAAATGTATCTCAAACACCCAATAAATGTCAATTGTCTCAATGACCAAACCAATTTTGAACGTAACCACATTTTAGCGACTTTTTCGTGATTTAAGGACGTTTTTGATCACCTACCCTAAACAATCTAGATTTAGCGACAAAACCGCTAAGATGGTAACCCTGGTGACTAGTGATATTGAAGAGTGAAGAATATATAACCACCGCCCCATCCCCACGTTCACTGTTTCACGTTTCCTGTTCGTCATTAACCTGCAGTGTTAGTGTTGCTACTTTTTTCGATTTTTCTCGTATCTACCGATTATTCTAGGGCAGGCAAATATTTTCCAGGGCAGGCTGTGCCTGTGATCAGAATAGTCATGGCACACTCAGATGGAAAATGGAAAACGAAATTAAAATCAATATTGAAATTGGAAATGACACTCATTGCCTTCAAAAATGATGCTGATTTCGAAAATGTAATGATATACAGGGTATTCATATGAAAATAAAATGTTATTGTCACTTTCGGTGAAACTGGAAGTGAAAAATAAAACATATTTATGTCAAAACATGACGTTTATCAAGTTGATGGAATATTCCTAATTTCAATCACTCATCTCTGAAACCCTCTGTTGGTTCACTAGATTTTGTCTTATGTACCTTGGTAGGTATACAGAGTGATTCATTAAGAATGGGCAATCTCTGAACTACAGATAGACACCAAAATATTGAGATCTGATAGCCAGACAAGTAGTTGTTTTCTGTTGAATATCTAGAATGATATTATATGCATATACAGGGTGTAAATTTGAAAACTTCCAATGCGAATATGTCGCGGAAGAAAAAAGTTAGAGAAACGCCGTTTGGCAAAAATGCTAAAGATTTAAGGGGAACTAGAACCACCATATTTCGGTCAAGGGATGAGTCACCCCGTCGGCGCGACACACCCCAACTTTGAAATGTCAAATGGTACTACCTCTTTGTGATGCCTCAAATGAACGGTCTCAGTCAGTAGTATTCACCTGTACAAGACTTTTTTTCCACCCACTACAGGGTGTACGAAAAATATAAAGTCGAATAAAATAAAATGAATTGTGTTAAAAGGATATTTTATTTGATCAGATGTTCAAAATGCATTCCATTCTGTTGTGAGCAATAGTATAATCGATGTTCAAATGCCATTCTAACATTTTGGAACACATCTCTTGGAATATATCGGCATCCTGCATTTTATTTTATTCGACTTTATGTTTTCCGTTCACCCTGTAGTGAGTGGAAAATAAGTCTTGTACAGGTGAATACTACTGACTGAGACCGTTCATTTGAGGTATCACAAAAGAGGTAGTGCCATTTGACATTACAAAGATGGAGTGTGTCACGCCGACGGGGTGACTCATCCCTTTACTGAAGTATGGTGGTTCTAGTTCCCCCTAACTCTGTAGCATTTGTGCCAAACGGCGTTTTCCTAACTGTTTTATTTAGCGAGATATTCGCATTGAAAGTTTTCAAATTTAGACCCTCGAATTATTGTTTTTCGTACACCCTGTAGTGGGTGGAAAAAAAGTCTTGTACAGGTGAATACTACTGACTGAGACCGTTCATTTGAGGTATCACAAAAGAGGTAGTGCCATTTGACATTTCAAAGTTGGGGTGTGTTGCGCTGACAGGGTGACTCATCCCTTCACTGAAATATGGTGGTTCTAGTTCCCCTTAACTCTTTAGCATTTTTGCCAAGCGGCGTTTTTCTAACTTTTTTATTTCGCGAGATATTCGCATTGAAAGTTTTCAAATTTACACCCTGTACATATCTTTATATGAAGGAGAATGCAAATTCTCAACTTCAGAAGATTTTGATTCAAAATTTTCATCATGCGCGTTCAATAAATAGAATGTTCGTCGTGGCATATAGCCAGGAAAGTAGTTGTTTTTTGTTGAATAAACCGAGAAAGAATTGATATTCTCATCATATAGAGAATGCCAATTCTCAATGTATATCTCTATACAGTGTGACCCACTTCCAGGGGCGGTGAGTTTTGTTTTGCCCAATGGGTGCCAAAATGGAGGGGTTAGGGCAAGTCAAAAAAAAATGCGCCGCAGGCGAAAAATTTTTATGGCTCAAGGTCAAATGCCTTCAAATTTGAAGATAGTTTGATGCAATATTGATTCTGCATTACGTGTGAAACACCCCTACTAGAATATAATGTTTTTTGACTAATCGGGTTTCGGGTCTGTTGTTAATATCAACATAAACAAAAGTACATCTTCGTTTCGGCCAATGGGTGCATTGCACCCATACCTATGGT